GAAAGTAAAAATGGGCTTGGTTTCAAGAAAGTAATGGAGTGACAGTCCTCCACAAAGAATGCAGTCCTAGAGCGAAGTGGCTGCTTTGACTTAATGAGCAGCTGAGCCAGTTTGAGGGCTAGCAAGGTATTGTGAAGCTTGTCTCTGGCTTTGTTTCTCTCTCATCTTCCATGGCTGCGGGTCTAACTCTCTTACTCTCACTCTCCCTTCGCATGAGGTAAGGAGCAACCACTGACAAACACACACACACACTCTCTCCTTCTCTCAACCCCTTCCTCTCCTTCTCCTCCCCATTATTACCATTTCTTCCTCTCCTCCCCATTATTACCATTTTTCAAAGAGGGACCATAAGCATCTCCTCCCCTCTCTCTTGCCCTTTCCCCTTGCTACTCATTCTATTGGGTTACCTTTGCTTCATTTCTTCTCTGCTTCTTGCTTCCTCTCTCCTCTCCCATCCCTCTTGTGTGCTTTCTTTCCAGCTTCTGTAGCTGTTCAAGCTATAATTTTCTAGAGGAAAGGTTGCTACAGTTACAGTTGCAAATTGTTAAGAGGGTTTTTTGTCATGTTTTGTGTGTATGTGTCAGATTTGTTGAGTTTTGTAGGACTCCTTTTCAAATGGGAAATCAGCTCCTTGTCTAGGGGAATCTGAACTTTTGAACCTGTCAACCAGAACCCAGTTGTCAGCTAGGATGAGAACTTTTTAACTCCTTCCAGGCTAGAAGAGCTGCTTAGGATTCATGCCTGCAAGGTATTGTGTGTCTGATTACAGAGAACAACCAAAAAGACAAGAGAACAAATATTCTGAAGTGAACTCATTTAACCTGAGAAATCCAGACAATCCAACGAGATTTTCTTTCTTTGCTTTGTGGCTGGTGATTCAATGGGTAATAATGCAACAACGTTGCTGCGATTTTTTCACGTGCCAGTGGCTTTTGTATACATTGGACAGAGCTTGGAAATGACATTTTTAGTGTTTCTTTATTATTTTTCTTTATAAGTTTATTTTATATCTGATATATATTCCGTTGCTATTGGAGGTTATACCAGAAGTCTTAGTCTTCTTGGGGAAGAAAGTATTTTGGATCCATAAAATCAAAACTGGATATTCATGATTTCATATTATTTTTCCATGCCATCCTCTCCAAACCACTGCCCAATCATAGGTTCCATCTCTTCCCGCAGACTAAACCACATAAATATCATGGTCTTTTGGTGCATGACTTTGCAATAGCTCGAAAAGATGCAATCAAGATGCAGATCCTCATGGGATCCACATATTTTTGGATTTGATCCTCCTCTTTGTTTGAGGAGCAGAGATGTGATATCCAGTCCACAGAATCCTCAGCTGTAACTTTCAAACCATACCCGCACAGATGCCATGGAAAAACCAGATGGATCCATGATAATATGTGCCTAGGATTCATTTTCTATAAGCAAGAGAGGCAGAATAGTTGTAGTTCTGGCACTTTTATGAAAAGGAGCTGCAATGTAGTTTTGGTCTGTAACCCTGAAGATCCATACATCAGATCCATATGTTTTCAAAAGATCTGTGATTTTTATTCTTTAGTACAGGGTACAAATTTCATCCACAATTTCATGGAGTAGCGTAAACACCAAGCAAAAATTCTAGAGATCCATGTGGATCTGCACATTGGATCTATGTTTTTGTGCCATGATTGCACCATTAAGTAGCTGATCTGTAATTTTTACAGTTCAGTCTATGTGCACAGAGGAAACATATTATTCTATAGTGATTTCAGGAATTTAATGTGTAGAAATCCTATGGATCCATGGTAATCTATACCTTAGATCCATACACTTGGATCCATATCTTGGATCCATGTTTTCCTACTATAAAAGAATCCACATGGATCCATTTTAATGTGTAGAAATCCTATGGATCCATGCTAATCTATACCTTGGATTATCTTGGATCCATGTTTTCCTGAAATGAGGAATCCATACATTTTGTGAACATGAATGATACCTCTGATTTGGCAGTTTTTCAAGACAGGTACTATAAAAGAATCCACATGAATCCACGGGGAAGCATTCATTGTAACCGTGTTTTTGCACCACATTGGTGCTGTGAAATAATGAGACCCTGATGGTTATAGTTCAGTCTGTGTACAGAGATGAGATATATGATTTGATGGTTGTTTCAGAAGGATCTCATGTAAAATCATGTGAATCTGTGAGGACTGAAACTTCAAATCCATCTTTTTGTGTCACAGCAGTGCCTTTGAATTGAGGTTCATATTATTTTATGCTGCAGTTTATGTAAACAGTTAAGAGAAAAATCATAGAATCATAGAATAATTGTGTTAGAAGGGTCCTATAAGGCCATCAAGTCCAACCCCCTGCTCAGAGGAGGAATCCAAATGAAAGCAGATCTCATAGCCTAAAATAGCATTGACCTTTTCTTGGCAACCACATTGCACTATTCACTCATATTCATCTTACGGTCTACAACAAGTCCAAGATCTTTCTTGTACGTAGTATTACTGTACCAAGCATCTCCCATCATGTAACTGTGTATTTCATTTTTCTCCCAGGTGAAGAACTTTGCACTCAGTGTTCAAATTCCAACCTGTTGTTTTCAGGCCAGTGCTAGAGCCTACCAAGATATTTGTGAATTTTGTTCCTGTCTTCCAAGGCTATTCCACCCACTGTTGTGCTATCTGCAAATTTGATAAGTATTCTCTTCACTCCCTCATTCAAGTTATAAATAATATTATTGAAGAGCATAAGCCCTTGATTAAGCCTTGTGGTACCCCATCTGTTAACTCCTTCCACACTGAGAAAAATCCATTGATAAACACTCTCTGAGAATGATTCTGTAGCCAACTGTGCATCCACCAATACTTCTGCTATCCAACCCACACTTAGTTAGCTTGCTAATCAGAATATCATGGGGCACATTGTCAAAGGCTTTGCTGAAGTCAAGATATCCTATGTCTCCAGCATTCAGGGATGTTGCCCAGTCAAAAAAAAAATGAGATAAAAACTAGCCTGCAGAATTTGCCCTTGACAAATCCATGCTGGCTTCTAGTTATTCCTGCATTGTTTTCAGGTCCTTGCAAAGTGGCCACTTTCTAATCTGTTCCAGAATTTTCCCTGGGATTATTATCAGCTGCTGGCCTGTCTAGTTCCCTGGTTCCTCCTTTTTGCCCTTTTGAAGATAGGGACAAAGTTATCCCTCCTCCAGTCACCTGGCACTTCACCCCTCCTCCATGATTTCAAGAAAATAATAGACAGTGATGCTCTAATATATTTATCACACATTCCTGTTTTCTGTTTTTTAGACTACAAGTTCCAGAATCCAATAGCCAGATTCTGGGACTTGTAGTCCTTAAAAGTGACATTTTTGACCTGTGTCTAACAACTGCTGTTCATGTCTGATGGCTTAAGTATGGTTTTGGAGTATTTCAAATTGCATTATGCTGGTGTATTAGATGCAGCGACTCTATTGAAGGGAAAAAAATGCTGGCTATCCATTCTTATCTGCTGTTGCAATTCTTAAGAAAAATGCTGTAGCTCACTGGCATGCAAGAGGTGTCCTGTTCAATTACTCCAAGCAGGGCTGGGAAAGCATCTTGTCTGAAAACCACTGCCAGTCACAGCTGACAATATTGAGTTTGATAGATCGATGGTTTGACTCAGCAGAAGGCAAATTCTTGAAGAGCTATGGACTTCTGAACGTGTCGGGTTCCTCTTCTTGCCTTTTTGACAGATCATTCAACTTTTCAGGGGCCAAGCATGCCACGCTGTAAAGTGCACCATACAACCCCTAAGTAGGTTTACTCAAGAACCAGTGCAATAGAGTTCAATCTTTCCTAATCCCTAGGAGGTGTGTTTAGGATTGCAGTCCATTTCTTTTAGTTCAGTGGTTTGATGATGGCCCCCCACTCCTTCCAAAGAGTTTTATAGCTTTTACTTGGGTCAGTTGATTTGGCCTCAGATGACAGCTGCTTATGGCTGCTGAATCCCAGATGGATTTTTAATCATTGTTACTGTGCACTGTTGTATGGAGAATGAAAGCCCATTAGGAAATGACTTTAGGAGTCAATAGGCTGTTACCATCTTGGAGAATTTCATTAAATTTTGTTTGTAGCTATTTGGATAACAATGTACTAAACATTTAAAGTAGCCTCTCTTCCTTCCACAGCTTTCAGTGCAGTCTAGGGAATCGTTTATTCTTATAACAATAGAATACTTGCAAATCAAGATTAATTCTCTAAGTCTTTCCTGATCAGCCGCTCTATTCATAGTAATTTTATTTATAATAATATGTTTACAGAGCAACTACAATGATCTAGAGAAAAGAAAGAGGCTAGGAAAAGGCAAGATTTATCCCCAGTTGTAGCTAAGCAGGTCCTCAAAGCAATACATGCTCACAATTTAATATCAATAAACCCTTTTTTGTCTTAGCAAGGGTTTAATTCTATCAGATAAATCACCTATCTTGCCTCAGAAACAGATCCCTGACTGTCTCCTGATAGCATAAGGTAATGGTTTCTTCTTCTGCTGGGCCAGGAACATCAATTTCATGCTGCAGAGGATGGAATTAAGGCCATTCCCCTCCTGCCATCTCTGCTGCTGGCATAGAGATCTTTCAGTAATTGGAGAAAGGGACCAACCTTCCATTTGTGTGGGACGATTAGGCAATCACAGCTAGTGCCCAGTTCAGTTGGTGGGATGCAGTAGCCAATAGCAGGCAGAGTTGAAGTGACAGAGAGATTTGGGAATAAAAGATGATGTGCACACTGGCACTGGGTCATAATTCTCCCATGAGAATTTCACAGATTTCCATTAAATTTGAAAGATAGCTGTTAGGGTTTTTGCAACCTTGCATGCTGTCTGTAGTTTGTTTGGGTGGGAGGGAACTTTCTGGGCTGGGGAGACTGTCAATCTATTCATCTCTAACCAATCATTCCTGCCTGCCTCAGAATTCAAAGAGAGCCCCGCCTCTCTGCTCAGAGTTCTTTTTCCTTCTTGTCTGTTGAAGTCAGTTGTTCTGTTTGTTAGTTTTGGGGTTGATCTGTTCACAACTGTAAGTAATGAAATATTTTTATTCCTTCTGCTACAAATGCCTCAGAGTGAGTTCTTTAGACCTTAAGTGCTGGCTAATGAGAAATGGGTGGACTATCTGGGGGCACCTGTAGCTATTCTCCTCTGTGAGTCTCTGTAGTTCTACTGCATAGTAAAAAGGAATTTAACCCAAAATCCAAAACTTTCCAATAAAAGCAAACTCTTTTTGAAAAGAATTTCAAAAGAAAAGAAGTTTTGGAGAAAATCTAATTAGTGAGTTTCAGTGTTCTTGAGCTTGCCTTACTTATGAGGCGCCTGAGTAGCGGGTATGCATTTCATGTCTTTCAGGGTACAATTATCTTTCCGTCAGCTGGTGGATCCCAGCTTTCCCCAACCTCAGAGGTAGCAAGATACATCCTCCTACCTTGCTCTTACAAATTGGGAAGTGTGGATAGCTCAGGAAGTTGCAAATTGAGACAGAATGGAGTATTAAGAGTTTTCTCTCCCTTGCCAAGGGAAAAAAAATACTTGAACAGCCAAGCAAACAAACATTATTGCAAAATCCTGTGTAACATTTTTATTGCTCTTCAAATACAAACAGCAGATTGTGTTTTGAAGTTTATGAGCCAAGGCCAAAAAGAAAAAAGAAAAAAAGAAAAAAGGAAGGGAGAAATATTTTTTCCACTTTCAAAAAAAAAGCAGGAAAAGATATGGAGAGAAAAAGAAGAAAATGCAATTCACTCGAAAAACTGCAATCATGTTTACATGTTTCTGTAATGCTGATGTCCATCAAACAGTAAGACTTGCTTTTTAGCAATCAGTCAGCTTTCTTTCTTTCTTTCTTTCTTTCTTTCTTTCTTTCTTTCTTTCTTTCTTTCTTTTTCTTTCTTTCTTTTTTT